TATCATTAAGGGTAAAATAGTCAATTCAACATTATTTTCTCTTCCCTTCCATTTTCTAACCAAACAAAGTATATCATTTTCCCTCACCTCCCCTCCTACAAAATCTCTCCAAACAAAGTAAAATTATTTTACATCCTTTCCCTTCCCCTCCCTTCCCTTCCATTAAAATCCCTCCCCTCCCTTTCCCTCTGTTGAACCAAACATACCCTTAGGGTTTCAATCAAGTATTTAAATGAGAGAGAGAATGCACGCGTCTCATTCTTTTTATCTCCCCAAAACACGCGTCTCATTCACTATGTCAGATGTGGGGTATTTAGAGCATCTCCAACGGTTGTGAATTGTAGAATTGTAGAAGACATGCAATAAAAAAACTCCTCCAATCGTGATTTTTTTATTTCTATTAGTGATGATGTGGCATGAAAGATAACCAATAATTCTAGAAGTCCTTCTACATGTAGAAGTCCTTCTAGACTTAATGAGTTATTTTTTTCTCTTATTTACAAACAAAATAAATGAATTATGTGGAGATAGAAATAAACCATTGAAGAATTTTTATGGACTTGAACCTCTATTTGTTCCACCTGGATGGAAGTTCATCTATTTAATTGACACATACATCACAATTCATGTTCACGGTTGGAGATGCTCTTAAAGTTGCATTTAACTAGAATCATCTATTATTTGGGTTAACTAGTAGGTTATACATAACTATTTTTAAAAGCCCAAAAATTCGTTTAGTTAATATCAAATATACTTAATATGTTAAAGGCCCAATTGTTTTCCAATAATATATAGATGGGCTCATACTTTTAAATTTTCTGACCCAATAATATTTAATATGATTTAGTGTACAAATATAATTATTACAAATATTGACCCCAAATAATTGTAGTACAAAAATTTATCATCTAAGTAAGTAAAACTATTAAATGTATATATTTATATTAAGCAATATGAAGATGCGGTTTGTGTTTGTTATTTATCAAATTGTGCTCAATGATTGTGCTCGAATATGTTGTTTGTCAAGTGCAAATGCTGTTAATTTTTTCAAATTCCTTTATGGGCTGATTCTTTTTTTTTTTTTTTTACATTTATGTTATAATTTATGTTATAAAATCAACCCAATATATATACACTAAACAATGACTAATTTTTATTAGTGGCTCAATGTTTAACTATATCAATTTTATTATTTCAGGCACGTCATCCGGCGTGTGTACATTAACACCTCCGCTCCAAAGACCCGTCGTCCCTAATAATTCACGTTCTCTCATTCAAGAACATGGTATATATATTATTTTTTTATCAATCTTCTTTATTTTTTTCATTGGAATAAATATTTTTATTATTTTGGGTTTAATATACTTAATAATAATTACTTTTTATGTTATGTGTCCCATTAGCAGGCTCTCAATGCTCGTCTCAGAGTAGTGCAATAACTTACCTCACTAATGTTTTTTCGAGCGGTTCAGTACCGTTAATTGATCTTACATTGGACGACAATGTAAATGCGCTCTCTTGTTCTGCATTACCTACCCCAAGAAATGGTACTTCCAAATGTAAAATGAATTCTTATACATTTTGTTATGTCCCGATAAACATTATTTCATATTCTAATGTATATATATTTTTCTTTTTTATTCTTATATATTAATATTACTTTTTTTGTAGAGTCATCAACTGATTTGCCGCCTCGAAAGAACGTAGGCGGGCGTCCGAGGCGCCCCTTACCTCTCCCTACAAATGGTAATTCGAAATTAATTATCAAGTTGTCTAATTGGTTATTTTGTGATCAAAGAAATAAAAAATTTATTTACTCTTTTATATTACAACTTTTGGATTTTGTATATTAATTTTTATTTAATTTAATGTTTTGTAGATTCATCACTACAATTTACACCTCGATCAATGTCGGTCGTCCGAGACGGTTATTACCTCCCCCCCCCGTGATGACGATGTTTTATCTGCTTTCGTCCGTAGTCAAAGTAATTCTCAGATTTCCAAATAAGCTTTCATTAGTAAGAAGAGTAACTTTAAAAAATTCCAACTTATTTCATAAGTTTCTATGCACATCATTTAAATAAACTTGTTGAAATTTTTATTTCAATTACCTTATTAGCTAATTTACAGAACACTTTTTTCAGCTTGTAAATAACAACAAATTATAAGTTTGAAAATCTGCAGAATTTTCAAAGAAAATGACTTCAAACCGAAAGGTATTAAAATTTTGTTTGTATAAATGAACTCTAATGTTATACCCTTGCTGGTTAGAAGATTTTGGCTCTTGATAAAGACAATATTTTTTATATATAAAATATATATTATTTTCAATAAAAGTGATATTTATTCTTCAACATACCTTGACCAGGTAATGTTTTCTTTCCTAACCTTCACATATTGGTTAGCAGTATTATGCATTCAAATTGGCTAAATTTTAAATTTGGTCCTA